AACAAGAAAGTTCTTTCACATGATAATTAGAAAAAAAATGCTCAAGGCGTGTGTTTCGTGAATGAACGTCGGTCGAATTCACAGGAACAAGAAGATTGCTCGGAATGACAGCGCCGAATATCTCGACTACTGTGACTGATGTGTCCTTCTACACGACATATCGGGAAGGATATCAGAGCAAGCTCTCAGTTCAGTTCACTCAAAGGGCGGTCGATGTAATTTCTGAGACTTGCTTCATTGCGACGACCGAAGATCGCCTTGATGAGCTATGGACTTCAGCATGATCGCAGTCGCTCTGACATGATGATGTGTATGAATTTTAAAAGTTATGTCAGTTTGGATATATTTTCAAATTTCATCATACCTGTTCTATTTTGTTCTATTTTGATTTTAAACACGATACTTTATAGACCTTACGAGTGTCAGCTGTGTTTTATTTTTATCACCGTATGTAAGTTTACAATCTAACTGAGCGCGACATGGTGAAAACCTTCCAAACTCAGGTTGTCCATTCGGTTTTTTTTTTTTTGAGGACTTTCGTCTACACACACGCTATACTAACGAAAATTACGTGCATGCATGTTTTTCTGAGTTTTATAGATGAACGTCAATGTTTTTTTTCTTTCTCTGTTTTTAAGCTTTGTAAAACCTCCGCCTCCTTTCCACGAAGGTTCTTATGGTCCCCTCCACATCTTCAATGTTTGTTAATGAAAATGTTGAGCTTGTCTATGCAGATGTCACAAAACTGAAAGACTGAAAATGGCTAATCAATGTTCATCATTCGTCGTCGTGTTTTTCATGCTTTCACAAGTGTTGTATAACGTTGCCAGTCAACGGTGTGGAAACGGTAGCGACCTTTACTCCATTTACCAAATGATGCTCAAGGGTCACACGTTTAAGACGTTCAAAACTACACCAGGTACGCTGGAATGCCGTGAAGCTTGCCTCGCTGATTTCAGATGTCAAAGTTATAACGTCCTCATGTTTATTTCAATTTGCGAGTTAAACAACAGGACCAGGGAAACCAGACCGGAAGATTTTGTTCAAGACAAAGAGAGATACTATATGGCGAAAGGATCAAGACGAGGTAACGAAGCTTTTAGATATAGTTTTAGCTAATGAAAACGTGTTCCTCATCTAAACTTCCTTTAAAGAATAACAATCATAGATCGTGTGTTGATCGTTACATCCAAGAATTTGTTATGTTTTTCATGCTAAAAGGTATTTCTTCAATTCCAGTCCCTCTCGGCTCTATCCCTGAGCTGCCTGCTGATTCATGTAAAGAGGCTAAGGCGAGTGAAGGAGGACAAGCACTCAGCGCTAATTATTGGTTGGA